CTTCGAGATTTTCCTGTCCCTAAGTGCTGGACTAGGGGCTCTTATTTCTGCACTGAAGAAGTTCCTGAATCTGTGTGCTTATTGCGCCTGTCACATCTCAGCTAAAGGGAAATGCTGAAATCATGGAACCGGTCTACAGATCACACAAGACAGGAGGTTCTGAGTACAGAGACTAGGCTTGCCACACCGTGGATTTTCATTAACTGTCTTTTTGAACAGTTGAGATGTCACTCAAGGACCGATTTTCAAGCCTAGATTGTTTTGCTTCTATTTGGGGGCTTCTAGCAAAGTACATTTACAAAGGCTAGCTGGACTATCCCTTTGTGAATGCTGCCACCTTGTGGCCATAGATAGAAGTTCTCCGGGTATTTTGGGACATCGTCTCTGGCAATGACTGTGTTACCCAAGATGGCCTCAGATGGCAATCCTCCTGCTTCAGCTTTCCAAGTGCTAGGGTTTGGACTCCCAAGTCTTGATTTTGAACAGTCTTGAATTTAGTAAGGGAGGATTTCTGAAACAAAGATCAGAGGAAAATAAATATAATCATGTTTGGAGGAGGCGGGGCATCGGAATGCTCAACCCAGAGGACAAGAACCAAACCAAAGGACAAAGACGGCAGGCAAGGGTCCCTGAGGCTAGTCCATGAATAAATCTGGATCTCGTCCTCTCATCTGGGAAGGAGGGCCAAGGGAACAGGGTGTGACGGAGTCAGAGCTAGGTGTGTCCTCACACTTGGGGGCTCAACATTTACCCCTTCATGGGATGATTATTGCACAACTATTGTGTGCAAATCACGTTTGAGGTTCCTAGGTGACCTCAGCAAATGAAGCAGACATCTGCCCACTAGACTCACACTCTAAGCAGCAGACAATAAACAAAAGTTCTATTTTACTTCATTTATGCTTTACTTTTTTAAAAAAAAATTATGTGTATGGCCTTTTTTTTTTTCTTGCCTTTTTATCAGCGTACCAATACATGACTGGAGCTTTGTATCAGCGCACCACATACATGACTGGTGTTTTATATCAGTGCACCACGTACAAGACTGGAGCTTGAGGCGGCCAGAAGGGGGCGTCAGACCCCCTAGCACTAGAGTTACCGATGGTTGTGAACCACCATGTGGTTTCTAGGAATCAAGTCAGGGTCCTCCGAAAGAGCAGCCAGCGCTCAGGTCCCCACAATACTATTTTTTTTTTAAAGATTTTATTTATTATGTATACAACATTCTGCCTCCATGTATGCCCGCATGCCAGAAGAGGTCGCCAGATCTCATTACAGATGGTTGTGAGCCACCATGTGGTTGCTGGGAATTGAACTCAGGACCTCTGGAAGAGCAACCAGTGCTCTTAACCACTGAGCCATCTCTCCAGCCCCCCCCCCATAATACTATTTTAAAGAAGGAAATTATATTTAAAAGGAAAAAAAATAAAAAATGCACGACATAAAGGGAGCAGGGTTGGTACGACTGCGCCCTGGGAAAGTACTTGCTGCTAACTCCGAGACCTGAGTTTGATTCCCAGGCCCCACTTGATGGGAGGAGAGAAATGACTCTGGCAAGTTGACCTCTGACCTCTGTGAGCCACGGCTCATCCATGCCTACCCAATAAATAAATATATAATAAATAGAAAAGCCCTTTGAACTGTGAGATGTCACTTTGTTATACAGCTGCACTTTCCATGGCTGTGGTATTCCACCTCGCCCACTCCAGACCGCTCAGGGATTCTGGGTGACAGAAGCCTGTGCTCTTTTAGCTTTCCTTCCCACTCAGCATGGGCACCTGGCCCTACTCAGTTACTATTGGTCCTTCACTGGCTCCTGTGTCGCTCTCTGTAGAAAACGGGGCACCCTCGCCTGTCTCTCGGATGCTACTGGAGCCCACATCCTGCCACTGACACTCCAAGCTCAGGGTCATCAGCCCACACTGGGTTTAGAGCCTCGCAGAACCGTGCCATCTCTCTCTCTTGTAACGATTTCAGGCTTCCTTCCCATCCGTGGAAACCCTCCTGCCTCACGAAGAAAGGACTTCTGAGCTCTCCCATCCCCACCGTCATCTCCACACCATCTGCAAGCTTGCTTGCCCGTGTGTGCATGTGGATGAGCCTGGAGAACAACCTATGGGAGTCAGTCTTTCTCCTCCACATGAGTTCTGGGATTGAAATCAGGTTAGGATGGATGGTAAACAAGAGAGTCCATCCTCTGAGCCATCTCACTGACCCCTGCTCCGGCCGGTATGTGAATCACAGGTGCCTGGTGCCTGCTGAGGTCAGGAGAGGGCAGCAGATGTCCTGGGATGGGAGTTGCAGTTGTGAGCTGACTTGTGGATCCTAGGAACTGAACAAGTGCTTTTTGGCTTTGTTTTCCTTACTTATGGTTGTGGCTGTCTTGTCTGCTCGTACATCTGCACACCAGAACAGGGCACCGGATCTTACGGGTATATAGTTAAAGCTGGCTGTAAGGTGCCATGAAGCACTGGGAATTGAACTTGGGTCCTCCAGCAGAGCAGAGCAAACCCCCTGGGCCCACTTCACCTCCCCACCTCCCCTTCTGTCCCAAGGGAAAGCTTTTGTAAGGCATTATGGAAGCAAGTGTCACAAATCAGTGGGTTAAGGAGGAATCGGGAGTGGAGTCACATACAATGCTCAGGTTTTCTCCTAAGGTTGAGCACACTCCCCAGGCCTCATCTCTGGTTCCATTTCCTGAAGATGTCAGAGTCAGGCAGACTCTCTAGGGGCCAAAGGTTAGGGGAAGCACTCTAGCACCTCTCCTCCTAAGGGCTTCTAACCACAGGTGTTTCCCTCTCCAACCTTTCTGGACCTCTCTGATGATTTCTTTTTCTTTTTTTTTTTTTTTTTTTTTTTTTTTTGATTTTTCGAGACAGGGTTTCTCCGTAGCTTTTGGTTCCTGACCTGGAACTAGCTCTTGTAGACCAGGCTGGCCTCGAACTCACAGAGATCCGCCTGCCTCTGCCTCCCGAGTGCTGGGATTAAAGGCGTGCGCCACCACCGCCCGGCCTCTCTGATGATTTCTGATTAAACAGCAATTGGGATTCCCTTCCTGACCTCCAGAGCTCGCAGCTAAGTTCTATTTTATTACATGTGATCTCTTCAACACGCCAAAGTAGTGATCAGGGTGGGAGGCTAGGTCAAAAATGATCAAAATTCTGGAGAAACTGCAGATAGCAAAATATACACAACTGAAGATAATCAGAGCAGAACATGGTGACACTGACACGCACGGACGCACGCACACACGCACTCACGCACACACACACACACGCGCACACGCACACACACACACACACACACACACACACACACGGTCACAGAGAGCAGGAGGAGGAAGCTGAGGAGCCGAAGGCTTGAATTTAGCTAAGGTTGAGCAGTGGTTGGCAGTACAGCAGCAGCTTTGACTGTCTTCAGCAGTTGTCAGATGGTTCAGGACCCTCTGTATTTAAAGGGCCTGAGAGTGTAGCTACTGAGATTTCACCTCTCCAATGGCCCATTATCATGGCCTGCCCCTTCCCTAGTGCCCTCTTCTCACCGAGGGACAGCCTATTGAAGAGGATGGAGTGTTTAAAGTCCAAGTCTGATGGTCTTATGGTCACTCATCCCTCCTTGAAATCCATAGACTGAGAAAAACTGCCCCAAACTGTCGCCTCACCGGGTCCTGTTACATGAACCCGGAAGAGCTCCAGTTCTACTTGTTCATAATTGGACATCTAGGTTACCAGACACACTGGAGAAAACCTTGATTCAGTTAGTGAAGCTGATCAGTTCTCGAGACCTCTGCTGCTTATGATCCCACTCTATGACCTGGAGCCAGCCAATCTCTCTCTTCGGATGCCTGCGGTAAATCTGAACCTAAGGTCAAAGTGAGGCAGAAGAAACAGCAATGGGAAGAAAGGCCAGCGCGCTACCCAGAGAAAGATGAGACTGAGGCCTTCTTCTTTAAATTTATTGTGTATAGTGTTCTGCCAGAAGAGGGCGCCAGATCTCATTATGGATGGTTGCTGGGAATTGAACTCGACCTCTGGAAGAACAGTCAGTGCTCTTAACCTCTGAGCCATCTCTCCAACCCACTTTTGTGGGGGAAGAGGGACAGGGTTTCTCTGTAGCTTTGAAGCCTGTCCTGGAACTAGCTCTTGTAGATCAGGCTGGCCTCGAACTCAGAGATTCACCTGCCTCTGCCATCAAGTGCTGGGATTAAAGGCGTGCTGGGATTAAAGGTCTACTTTTAAGATAAGAGAATAGCATGTTTGCAAACTTAAGTCACTTATGACATTTATATAGCACCAGGTGCTCAGATGACACCTAAGTGTCCAATATGTATGCCTTTTTATAAGAATGCTAATGAGGGGCTCAGCGGTTGAGAGCACTGGCTGCCTTTCCAGAGGCCCTGGGTTCAAACATCCCCCACACCCACATGGCAGCTCACATCTGTCTGTAACTCAGTTCCAGGGGATCTGACACCATCACACCAATGTGCATAAAATGAAATAATTGTTTTGTTTTTTATTCAATTCCTAGCACCTACAAGGCAGCTCACAACTCTCTGTGATCTGATACCTTCACATCAATGCACATAAAATAAATTTAAATAAATTATTAAGAAAAAAGAACCCTAATGAGGTAAGCATCCCTATACCCCCATTTTGCAGACAAGAACACTAAGGCCCAGTAAGTAACTTTATCCGAAACCACAAAGCAGTAACTTGTGAGTGGGAGAGCCAGGATTAAGATCGTGACAGGCAAAGCCTAAGTTCATGACCCCACTATACTAAAGCATATGTCACAGATGGGAGAAATGCCTGACCTGGCCGAGTCCCAAACCAGCTTAAAGCAGGTGGCAAAAAGCCATCCAGGTTACTGCCTGCAATGTATTGATACCAGATCCACCTAGCACCAGCCTCTAGCTAGCCTTTCTGCCTCCATCTCAGGAGTTCCGGGGAAAGGTGGGCCTCACACTCCTTCAATCCCACGTACACAGAGCAGGCCAGACATATGGGCACAATCTTTATTTCCCTTGCCTGGACCGATGTCCAAACGGCAAGAGAGACATACTGCAGATGGAGACAGAATTCCTCCTCAAGCAGTCTTTAATTCAGCGCTGACCCCACCACCCGCCCTTCTTCACAGCAGTGCACCCCACATTCCAGAGGAAGGGAGGCGGGACTTCAGTGGTCGCAAGCCTTGCTGGTATGTCACACAAGTGCTTCCGAGAGAAGGCACAGATATCAGGTTTAGAGTCCAGTTAGGTCCAGCCGGTCTTCAGGACCGGGTGTCCCGAGCCCTTCTTCGGGGTCTGGGACCACAGCTGGAACTAGGTATGGAGCCCAGGCCGGGGGGTGCTCCCGGAGGTTGGTAGCCACATTCACTGGGGTCCAAGGGGTCCCGACTGAGCAGCACCCACACTGCCGGCACATGGCGTCGAACTGTAAGCGGGTCTAGGCCCGTGTCTGGTGAGGTTGGGACCCAGCTGTCCTCAGTCTGCAGGAAGCGAAGCTTGGTGAGTTGGTGCAGGCCGGGAACCCGCCGTTTAACAATCTCCGCACAGCTGACGGCCTTTCCCGCAGCCCGGCCGGAGCCTGAGAACACCACGTGCCTTGTGCTTCCCCCCTCCAGCCGACCCAGCGCCAGTCCGAGCAGATTTCGGATTTTGCTTCCATCTCGGACTCGCATTTCCAGGGTGTCGGGAGGTAGCTGGGGTATCGGGGAGGATGCCGGCAGCTCGACAGAGCCAGCCCTCCGGTAATGTTCCATTCCGCTCCGGTGGTCTTGGGGAACTTCTCTTTGCTGTGCACTGGGAGAGAGGACCAAATGAGAGATAGGAATATGACCAGGTGCGTCCTCCATCACTCCGTTCAGGACATGGGATCTACCCCTCACCCTAGCTTCTCAAGGCTGGGGCCAAGAGTTACCCCTAGAGCCTTCTCTAAGTCCTTGCACGAGTCTCAGACACCGACAGACCCAAATCCCCCCCCCCCCCAACCCAAGCTATCTGGGATTGGGCCATGCTTCATCATCTCAAACTCTTCTGGGCTAAGTCCCGGACCCCTCATCCACAACTCTAAGAACAAGAGCCTCACTAGGCTTCTGAGGACTGGGACAAGGGTCCCTCGCTGTGCCTTCAGGGAACAGGAACAAGTCTCTTGGCACCAGGCTGTCTGGGGCACAGCCACAAACTCGCACAAAGGACTCCCGAAGGAAAGACCCGACCCCTCCGGGCTCTCGGCCGGGCCGAGCAGACCTCATCCCTAGATTACGAGGGTTGGAGGGCTGGAGCCAGGCCATCCGGGAACTCGAGAGTGGGCGCTCGCACGGAGGACTGCTCGGACCAATCGTGGGCGGTCCGGCGAGCTCCCCGGTCGTGGGTCGCTGTCCCAGGCAGCAGATATCCCTTTTCCCCACGTCTGAGTCCCCAGCCCCTGGAATTTGGCTCTTACCACTGTGGCCAGTCCACGCTCGAACCTCCCGGTGTAATCAAGATGGCGCGCGGACCGGGAGCGCGCGGGGCCTCGGGGCCGCGCACGCAGGGGGCGGGGCCTGAGGAGAACCCGGGAGGCCGTGCGGCTCAGCTGAGCTGGTACCCGCACCTCGCCAGCCTCCTGCGTTGCGCGCGGTGATGCCGGAGCACGCCAGCGCCTGCAGAGGTGATGCCCGGGAGAGGAACACCTATCGGAGGAGTCCTGCGCCTGAAGAACGCGGATTTGTGCCCTTAAATGATGGATGGCGCGCGTCACCGTTGACACACCATATCAGTGAAGGTGAAGCATTGGTGGATACAAACTAAGGAGAGACCCTTAGTTACGGAGTTCTGAACTCCTGGGACACTGGGCAACCCTGGCGATCTTCAGTAGGGACTAAGCCTTAGCTTGTGCACAACTCATTGCCCGCAGAAGATTGGCGTATAGGCTGGGAGGATCCGGTAGTGGTGACCCTGGGAAGGGCCTGCATCATAGCGCTTCGGCCCCGGGGGCCCACAGAGCCTAGTACAGTATCTAGAGTAAAATAGGCTCTCCGATATTTGTCCAGCGATATGCTGATTAATCACCGAAATGGCAAGAAGAATTGAGAAGAAATTAACTTTTAATTTGGTTAAAATTAAAATTTAGGAAATTTTGGGGAAGAGCCGGCAACTATTTGGTTGGAATAGTTGAGGATGATTGCTAGTTTCCGATTATTTTGGACACGCCGCATTTTGCCTGCTAGCAACACTCGGGTTGCGTGGTCTACAGGCAGTTGAAGAAGCCGAGGCGGTCCCTCGGACCACAAGAGGGCAGCATACACTTGGTGGAGCGCGGCTTTCCTATCCATAGTCCCTGCTCCACCTTCCCTCCCCCAGATTCTGAAATTTACTACATCCAAACCTTTGGGCTCCTCTTCTGGCTACTGATATTTGGTAGTCACAAAGCCATGCTGCCTTGCTCTAAACGTACCTGCTTTTTCCTCCATGACCATCCAGGGAGGTGGGCCCACCTGGTAAGCCTGCCACTTTCCCTGGTCTTTCCCCAAACCCTATACACAGATTAGGTGATCCTACCTGTGCCCTCGTTACCTGCCATGGGATCTGGTACTTAGAGGGCAGTTGGCAAATGTGAGATAAATAAATATACAATGCCCCACGGTATCAATCAGATGAGCGTTCTACATCTCTCAGCAAGCTAGACCAACCAATACAGTTCCCCAGCCCACCCTGATGGGGGTTGACAGCTCTCCCTGTCACCACTCCGTTCTCACAGCCACGCCCATCCTAGATGGCAAGCCAACACACTCCTTCAGGGGTCGGTTTATTGTCGGTGGAATAAATACACAGATGGGGCGCGCAAACCACAACGCTAAGGTAATCTGGTCTCTGAACGCTGGGCCCCAGTCAAGCACACACGGGACGTCTTTGCGTTGGATAAATACAAAGCTGCCTCTGCCTCATAAAGACAGGCTGGCTGTCACAGGACCCTGGAGCTGCCACCTTTCCTGGTCTGGCCTGGCCAGCCACTGTCACTCTTCTGCTGGCTTCACTTGCTTGGCAGCCTCGAGCTGGCAGAGCAGTTCATCCCACTGCACGAACTGCTTGGAGAGAAGCATTGTCTGCTCCTGAGTCAAGGTGATAACGGGGGTCTGAATGAGGAAGCAGAGAGACTGTGCATATGCCCAGAGGGGTGGGGGAAGGAGAGGACAGAATGGGAGGAGAGCTTAGGGGTAGCAGAAACAGGCTGGGAGAGAACACCCACTAGGCCCACAAGCACGAAAGATACAGTCTTGTTATACTCCTCCAGCAGAGCCTTGGACTCCTCGGTGATGTCCACACACTGGTCCTGTGGGCCAAAGGATGGCTCAGAAAGGAGTAGAACAAAGTCCCATCTCACACTGAACTGCCTGCCTCATCATTCCCTCCAAACCTAGAGAGGACGATGCTTAGAGAACCCAGAGGAAAAGGAGCAAACTGCAAACAGGTACTTTCGGTCCTAGGCCTTGTGCCCTAGACAGCAGCCCAAGGTTTCCACACATTAACATCCCCTCCTCTTCTGTCCCTATGTTTTTTTTTTTTTTTTTTTTTTTTTTTTGGTTTTTCGAGACAGGGTTTCTCTGTGGCTTTGGAGCCTGTCCTGGAACTAGCTCTGTAGACCAGGCTGGTCTCGAACTCACAGAGATCCGCCTGCCTCTGCCTCCCGAGTGCTGGGATTAAAGGCGTGCGCCACCACCGCCCGGCTTGTCCCTATGTTTTTTTAAGAATTTATTTGTTTTTATTTTATGTGTTTGGGTGTTTTGCCTGTATGTGTGTAGCATGTACAGGCTATACCCAAAAAGACCAGAAGAGGGCGTCAGATCCTCTGGGATTGGAGCTACACAGAGATTGGTTTTTAGGGGCCAGGTGGGTGTATAGAACTGAACCCAGACCCTTGGCAAGAGCAAGTAACCCTAAGGGCCAAGCCATCTCTCCAGCCTCTTTGTCCCTATTTCTAAAAAGTCTCTGAACTTGAGAGATATTTCACCCATAGTCAGAAACAAATTCCCAGGGATTATTTGGTTCCTCTCAACCTCATCCTCTACTGTGGAAGGCAAGAGACCTGGAGATGGCCCTAAGCCAGTCCTTCCCCTCTCCCACATTTCCTCCGCTGACCACACAAGGGTCTAGGAGCCTCCCCGGTGTCAGCAGACATGGTGACGCCGTCTCCACCTTCCCTTCCGGTCCCCTCTCGTTCCATACCTGCTGCTGGATGTGGATCTGGGCCAAGCGCTGCAGGCGGGCAGCATGCTCGGGAACGGCTGTAAAACACAACGCACGCTGCCCAGTGATGCCTGTGCCCTCCCCCGGGACTGCTCGATAGTCTATTAGGTCGTCGGCAGGATTAGAGTATTGAGTAGAGAAGCTAAACAAACGCCAGGCTTCATCGACCCCTGTAAGCTGGAGGTGATGGCGGGGCTCCCTGCCCACCCCAGCCTCACTCCAGGACCCACGGGGTGGGGGTAAGGGGAGAACAGGTACCCGGAAGGCAGATGCATAAAGCCCTCAGTATTGCTTCCTTAGGGCAGGGCCGCGTAGAGAGAGCTTTACCTGTTATAGGGCCTGCTCCTTTTGCTCTCAGCCCAGCAGGGCTAGAGCTTCCTGGCCTAAGGGATAAGGAACTTAGGTAGGCTGGGAATGATACCAGGTCCCTACACTGGCCCCTTGGGCTCTGACACCAAGAACCTTGGCCACCATGTTACGCCTGCAGCTTTAGGCTGTCAGATACTCGAGCGGGTAGCTGATCAGGACAGGGAAAGGGAGCTGAGAGAAATACCTCTAGAGACAGACAAGATGGATATCTGGATTCAATTAAAGCTGCTGCTTGCTTGTCAAAGCCCAGGCCCAGAACTCTCTTAGCAAAGCAAGCAGAAAACATTCACACAGCCGGCAGGAGCCCTGACAATAAGACCTGGGCTCTGCAGCACCCTGAAGGAGATGCTTAGGGGTAGAAAGCAGACGGAATCTCCGGAGTTGGGACTGCTGGAGCCTGTGCTGGTGTCCAAGGCCCAAACTGCCTGAGGCCCTGGACCTAGGCTCTTACTGGCGGATTTTAACCATAGTCAGGAGGCAGCTATACACAGGGTAGGGAAATGATAAGGAGCAGATTCCGCATTCACACAGGGAAGCCTCGGCCCCACCAACCACTTCCCCAAGCACGAGAATGGAGCTGCAGCCCCAGAGGGGTACCTTTGATAGACGCGCTGTCCAGCATAGGCATCAAGGCGTCCACTTGTTCCAGGAGTGCCACCTGGGAAAGGATGAACTGTTCCTCTGCGGGACACAGAAAAGACATCAGCGGTGAGGCGAGCATGGGCGTTGCTATAGCCCTGCCCCAGTGGGCGCAAGGCTGGGCCCCAAAGCTCTGAGCAGCAACTGTGCCCACTGGTCCCCTCCCCTGGGTGTTCATTCCTATCCCGCCCGGCCTTTCCTGGGTGCCCCTGCCTGACCCATCCTGAGCCTAAGAGCATCTCAGATTCTACAAATCCCCGCCCCCAAGTTTCAACCCAGATCCTTCTTCTCCAAGCTCCTACTGACCACTTAGTAAGGGCTCCAGGAAAGATCTGAAAGAGGAGACACGCAGCAGACCGTGTCGGGCAAGCTCTGCTCATGGGCCCTCAGAACTGAGATGGACTGGGGGAGGCCAGGGCAGAGAGAGGCAGGATCTGGGTTCTTCCGTAGAGCAGAAGGAGCTCGAGAGTGAGGCTGTCATGTACAAACGACTGGGGGAAAGCATACCCGGCCATCAGAGAAGAGAATTCACGGAGCTGGCCGGGAAGGCAGGGAGGCAGACTGAAAGGCTAAAGTGTGAGGATCTTATCCTAGCAAGGAGAAGCCGACACTGGGGCTCATAAGCAGGCCTGTGACATGATGGAAAAGCTTGTGAAGATGGGATAGCGTTCAGAAAGGAAAAGAAGGTGACGGAGGAAACTGCCATTGTCCACATGTCTGTGGATGCCCACTTCTCAAGGCAGGGCACAAGAAGCGGTGGGGAAGCGGGAAGACTCCTGGAACTGGGGGTCTGAGCCATGGTACTGGATCTAGGAGCCCTCTGACAGCCCCCTCAGCAGGAGCTGCCCCTCCTCCCTCCGGTCCTGAGTGTATATACAGCCATCATCTCTCAGGTTCCCAAAGCAGGGACAAGGACCCCTGCTTGTGCTCACGAGGACATAGACTTTCTGATTTCACCATCCATATCTCGTGCTCAGAATAAAGCCTGGGTCACAGTGTATGAGCAGTAAATGTTTTGTTTCCCTTTATATTGCTTTCTCTTCCTTATCGTTTTTTGAGACAGGATCATGCTACGCTGACTCGGGTAGCCTTGAACTCGTAATCCTCCTGCCTCAGTCTCCCAAGTATGAAGGAATCTAGTCACATGCCCACTGTGCCCAGCTAGGTGAATGAACGATACAGGTGCTCAGAAAACTCTCCCTGTAGAATGACCGACTGAAGTCCCAGAGACTTCTCCCAGGGAAGATGCTGCTCTTTCGGGGAGAGCCACCCTCTTCCATAATTTGCTAAAATAGCAAACAGAAGGAGAAAGAGGAAAGGAACCGGCTGTATGTTCTCTAGACCTTCTAGAAAATCAGCAGAGGGGTTGGAGAGGAGACTCAGCAGTTAAGAGCGCCTGCTCTTCCAGAGACCTGAGTTAGTTTCCAGCACCCATGTCAGGCAGCTCACAACTACTTGTAACTCCAGCTCTAGGGAGATATGAAGCCTTTGGCCTCCATGGGCACCGGCGCTCAAGTGCACACACCTATACTTAGACACACACCAATACATGATTAAAAAATAATAAATCTTGCCAGGCAGTAGTGTCATGCGTCTTTTATCCCAGCATTTGGAAGACAGAGACAGGTGGATCTTTGTGAGTTTGAGGCCAGCGTGGTCTACAGAGTGAGTTCCAGGACAGGCTCCAAAACCCTACCTCGAAACTGCCCCCCAAAAAAACAAAACAATACAAAAACTTAAAGAAGAAAGGAAGAAAAAAAATCAACCACCTACTAAGAAGTTGTTCCTTTGGCCACATATAGGTAACTCTATAAAGGTAATATTGTCGACATCAAGGAATAGGTATTGTTCAAAAACGAATGTCCTGTGTTATCATGGCAAAGCACGCCACAGTGTCATTCGGCATGTTGTTGGCATTGTTGCAGACAGTTAAGGGCAAAGTTCTTGCCAAGAGAATCAGTGTGTGACCTGCATACTAAACACTACCAGAGCCGAGACAGCTTCCTGCCAAGAGCGAAGGGAAATGATCAAAGGAGGGAGTCAGAGAACGGCACCTGGTCCAACCCGAGCAGCAGACTGCCCACAGGGAGGCACTCTTGAGGATATGAAGGGGGCCTGAGCACTAAGCCATTGCCTATGAACTTATGACTTCACGAACAGAAAGGAAGGATGCAGACCGTAAAGAACAAAAGATGAGATAGTCTCGCTTCTCCTGAGTGACAATACTCTCTTGCCCACTCCTCCCAGGAAGAGCCTCTGCCAGTGGGCAGTGAGGAAGATCATAAAGGAGAAAGTCCTTTATGACGGGCCTTTGAGAGGACACTGAAGTAGTACTGCAGGCCCAGAGGTGACACTACGCCCAGCATTGACTACAAACTCACAGGATCAC